GACTCTCTTCATGAACCTAGAATTCAAAGGTGACATCGCAGCGGAAATTCTCAGAAACCGCCTTTCTAAATGTCTGAAGACGACATTCCCAACAGCCACCCTACGTATCACATTCTCCTGCAGACAGTTAATCCAATCTAACGCTAAGGACAAGATACCGCTTCTGGCTACTTCAATGTGTATTTATCAATTTACTTGGTCGTATGGAGCAAAGTATATTGGCCGTACGCAACGTCAAGTCCACAAACGTATTCTGGAACACTGTCCAGCTTGATTAGCCAGCCAGAGGAGAAAAGGAGAATAGCAGCAGCTCTATCCTCGAACACCTTGTCATCTCCGGACATCGAGCACCCCCACTTGCATGAATGCTTCACAGGGATACACAGAGTCCCTCAATATCGTACAAAGGGACTTTGGATACGCCATCTGTACATAGCTGAAGCACTAGCTATTCGACATCTGAAACCGGACCTCTGCATTCAAAAGCGATACATGCATCCTCTCGCCCTACCATGGCCAGAGTAAAGTCCTTACTACAATTTTTCGTCCTTCTTTTATTGTTTATGTAAGTTCACTATTATTATTATTGTTAATACTTTTATTATCATTATTATTCCTATCATCCACATTTTATTACCACTCTGTTACCCTTTATTAATAACATTGCTTCTTCATTCAGATTTTATATGAAAACACTCTATCGCCTTTCCACTAGTTCCAATCCATTCTGCACAAGCTTATGGATTAGTCATTATCTCACACTTATTACGTCATGGCTCTTTTCTAACTTACAATTAGTCATCCCCTCTTGTCCAATCTTACACCTTGCGTTATGTAATACATTTTTCGAGGACAAAGTTTACCACTATCTATCTGATTGGTCTAAAGATTTCTTTGTTTAATATAATTACGATTGTACAGCTCATGAAAATGAATCGCCGAAAAGAAAAAATTTCCTTCGCTGCTTGTGCCTTTTTCATATATATTAAAACCACAGTTTGTACATCTCTCCCCTATTATGTATGCAATGGTCATTGTCTTTAGTTCATGTTTTCTCTGCCGTTTCCCAAGAATCGTGTTCATTTCTTCTCTCCTCCACTAAATCCACCTGCTGTTCGATATTCTTGCGACATTAGATTAATATTTATGCCTGTATCCGTATACTACTGATAAATCTTTTCAGTAGCACACTCTACACTATTACACATAAAGTAAGTGATCAGGTATAATTAGAAACATCGTCAGTTAATAATGTTGTTGTTTCATTGTGTGTCCAACAAATTGTTGATTTACACGCGAAATTCCACGATTTCTGTGAACAGTAAAGCAGAACACCAAGTGATGGTATTTATACTAAAAGGCTTCCCGATACAAAAAGAAACAACCATAGTAATAAGAAACTGGTACAGTAAACAGCTTTAGAAGAAAGAACCATGCGGAGACCTATATAAATGTCAAGAAACCATAAATCAGCCATTAGTTTATGGTCAACTAAGATTACATCTGTCTGTCTGTTTTCGACATAGAACTTTGCACATATAGGTGGCAGTTCAAGTCGCCACACTCCCTTCATGTAGCACACAAAGCAAGAGAAGAAAGTAGGAGAAATGCATATTACAGACAGTAAACAGAGGTGTGAGACAAAGGAATAGTAATAACGAAGAACAAAACAGTTTCATTGGAAATCATTAGTCGCAAGGAGTGGATGCATCTACACCGGCCACTGAGAACCAGGATTTTGAGCCATGTCACCAACTGTTTCCAACCATTGGTTTTTACCGTCCCGAGGACCCCAACCACGAAGTCCACACCTCCCTACGTGCTTAACATAAAATAAGTGTTGTGGATTTCATTGACTGGTGCCATGTTTGGTTTGGTTTGACCGCCGCTAGCTGTTTTCCAGCCTGATCCTATATCAGCTAACATTACCCGTCAGTCGAGGAAGGCGATGACTAGGAATACGTAACACATGTCCTAACCATCTCAGTCGATGTAATTTCACAGCCTCGTCGATTGATTTCCTCTCCCTTCTCACCTACCACTCGACCGATGCCTTACCTCAATACTGCTCACCCTATTATACCACTTCACACGGGAGATAGAACGCAGACATTCATGATCAAAGACAGCTAATCTTTTCATGTCTTCCCTTCTCAATGGCCATGTCTCACTCACGGCCATAAAGGAGGACGGAGTGGACTGATGAGCAGTGCACACGCCCTCTAGCCGATAGCCGGCCGGATATGTCGTCTACGCCAGAGACGGCGTAAACTGGCATATGCGAAGCTAGCCCTCTATATCCGTGCTGAGATTTCGTCAGCGATCAACCCGCTGGCGTTGGCTGATGCAACTTCCCAAATAAGTGAAGTGGTCAACACGCTCCACCAATCACTTCACTCCCTATTTCTAAACAAGGAGTCAATGTAGTCCAGTCCAGTCCTGTAGCATCATCTTACATTTCAGAGTACGAGCGAATCTCATACCAAACATTCGAACATTGCCCCCTAAGGTGTTCAGAAGACTCTGCATTTTGTCAGCGTCTTCACCTACAAGGACTATATCATCTGCATATTGTAAGTCAAAGAGATTATTCCCTGATAACAAGTCAATGTCTGAGTTGCTGAAGTTAGTTGGGTTTAAGTCCATTAATACATCAATGATGGAATTAAATAGAACTGGGGACAGTGGACATCTCTGACGGACACCAATAGTTGCCACCACTTCAGATGACAAATCGCCGTAAGCCCTCACCTGGCTGGCTGCATGAGTTCGAGTAGAGTGCCTTAATCACTGCAATGTATTTTATCGTCATTCCTTTCACAACCAATCATCACCATAGTACCTCTTGGTCGACAGAATCGAATACCTCCTTTAGGTCAAGAAATATGACAATTGATGGACGCCGATAAGAATGCCCACGTTCCAGAATCGGTTAAAGGGTGAATATATGGTCAATACACTCTCTTCATGGTCTAAAGCCTTCCAGGTTTTCTCGTGTTTACGCCTCTTGAGCACCACTTAGTCTACACATGGATTATTGAGCCTAGGACTTTAGACACTATATTAGTCAAGCTAATCCCCCTGTGATTATCACAGGAAGACTCGTCTCCCTTCTTGTATATCGGGATAATCAGTGACGTACACCAACTCGACGGGACTTCCTCTGATTCCCAGACGTTGCCTAATCCCCTAGTTAACACGGACAGTAAACTGTCTCCACCGTACTTCAATATCTCTGGAGTCATTCCATCAGGTCCTGCTGCTTTGCCTTGTTTCAGACTAGTGACAGTTTTAGTAACCTCAGTTAGGGACGGAGGACCTGTCTATATCCCATTCAGGGAGGCGTTGGATGTTCGACAGGTTGAGCGTAGCTGTAGACCAACTGAATTGCTCCTCAAAGTTTTCTTTCCAGCGTTCCATTCGTCTATCCTGAGAGCTAATAAAGGTGCCATTTTTCTCCGAGATTGCTTCACTTATCATTTGCCACCTGTTTCCCGGATAAGTCTAAATAGTTGTTTGGTTTCACCAATCGCCGATGCCTTTTCCATCTCCTTCGTTTTTTTCGCCCACCACTGTTCACGGTCGTTAAGGAGACTTCTTGTCAGTTTGCGTTTGAGCAGCTTTCACTCCTCATCATAATCGAAGCTCGACGGAATCAGTCTTCTTGCGTCAGTCAGTCCGGATGAGTTGGTAGAAATCCACTGGCTCTTACTAACTTTAGGTTTCAGGTTATTAACAGCTTTTACAGCTAACCGCATGTTGTGCCAGACTTTGTCAGGAGGAGTCCTGCTGTCGACCTCAGATACTCGTTTCACCATTTCTTCCTTAAATAGGGACTCAATGTCTCGATCTATTTGGGGAAGTAACTGCTTCGCTGCCAACAATTTATGTCCGTTCAGACGTAAGCATAAGCTTGCGCGGACCACAGCGCGATCGGAGTCTACGCACCTGTGCCAAAAGGAGTGGTGGGTCAGTCTTCTACTGACCCTCGACAACGATACCCTATCGCTTTGTGGTCTATCTGAGTCCAACGTTGATTTGGTGATGGAGGTTGCTAGATTACGCAATGTCTCTCTTTGTACCTAAAGTTAGTGCTGACTAGGAACAGATGATTATCTGAACAGAACTGCAGAAGAAGACAATCACCGTTGTCAGTTCGTCGGCGTGGAATTCCACACGTACCACCTATATACTTCTCAGTCTGGCACAACATCCCTACTTCGATAGTGAAGTCTTTAAAACACCTATATCTGAACGTACAATTTGATGTACAATTTTTGGGGTCGACCTTTTCTAACCCCTTCTCTCCAGAGTGGAGAGACAGCATAGCTAGCTGGCGTGCTGGTCATCTGAGGTGAACACCTCACTGCTGTTACATCCCTGTTTGCCCAGAGACCCCACCCCAGCAGAGTGTATGCTGGTAACTGCTTTCAGTCTAATCGCCATCCAAAAAAACCTTCCTGGCATGGTAGGACTTGCAGGAAAAATAGTTCTAGCCAGTGTAGCTTGTTGGGTCATTGCAGTGTGCAAGCCCGACCACCACCACGTGTCAAGGTGGCAGCTATTGGTAGGGTTCATCATTATCAACAAAACCTAAAAGTTAGTATACTGCTAATGGAAAAATACTGAGAGACATTAGAGAAATATATATATATATAACACAAATTATTGATACAAGTATAAAACTTCGGCACTGTCACTGTGGTGGTAGAGTATAACTCCATTATGGATAAGGTTTTATTTTGATAAACTGTCACACAGTGGAGTGTTATAATACAGTAATATTAACTGATGACCACACGCTTCGAGCACAAATTAATACTGCTCATAATCATATCAAGGCACTACTCACACACACGACTTTTTCCCTTCATTTATATACATGAGTGAAATCTTATCCATAATGGAGATATAATATATACAAATGTTATAATATAATATAATATACGCATATATACATACATATGTACAGAAATGCTTAAACGTAATAAACAAGAAAGTTAGGAAAAAATATTATCATAGAGAAAATAAGGAGAGAGAATCAGTGCAGCCTGTGCAAGTAAATCTTTTAAATGCTTTTCAGCATCTTTCAACAAATAGAATGAACCTCCATAATACTTTTTAAGATATAAAACAAGACGTTTACATTCGTATAGAGAAAAAAGTAATACAGTCGTCGTTGAATGACTTATTCCATGAATAGGCGGTAGACGACATTCAACAGACTTTGAAATATCGATAACACGTAGACTTAGATGACAAGATTGAAGATTTTCTCGATCAATATGCTGAAAAGCATGATTTAGGCAGAAACGAGAAAAGTCTTTGCCACAAGAAACTGACGATGATGATGATTGATAATCCGTTTTAGAGTAATTCTCAGTGTTCCATTCTTCTTCTTGTTGTTGTTGTTGTGGATGTTTACGCTTTCTACTACTACTTGTGGTCGATTGAGCAGTGAACCAAGCCCCAGGTGTTAAGACTGTAGAAAAACTACGCTCACAAAATTTGCACAATACAGATAAAATGATGACAGAATGTGAACTCGGTAACGACGTTTGACAGTTGAATAAAGAGGAAAAAAAGGATGAATCACATCGTGTAGAGTCTATACAATGTTGTGTAAAGCCTTCGATTGTAGAAAATCCAATTTGACAATTTGAGCATATTAGTGAGCGATGAATTTTTAGGTCTTTTACAATCAAAACCTTTCCATAGGTGTAAAGCGGTTCACCTTGAGGATGTTGCAATTCATGGTGATAGGCACACATTAACTAAAAAACCAATTTAAAAAAAATGAAATAATTCAAAATATATATGTATGTATTTTTTTTTGAATTACGCATTCAACGATACTTTATGCATAAAAATCAAACAAAATTATACGATGAATAATATGATGAAGTGTGGAAACGCAAAGTTCAAGGCAGACAGTACAGTTGTGACAGCAATCGTTTGATTGGCAATCAAAAAACACCTGTACATTTTTAAATTTCTTATTCCACACCTTTATTATACCATGATTAACTGTTTATCCTTCGTAAGGTGGTATTGAGAATGATGGGTTGTGGATTTGTTGACATCCTCCTTCTAAATAATTCACAATGATGAAGAAATGTACATATATATATGTAGCGAACCTTGAATGTTTTGGAAAGGCAAATCATGTTCTGACCAAATTGCAACTCTACGAATCATCATCGAACAAAGCATGGAATGCCAATCAAACCTCTACCTCAACTTTATAGACTTTGAGAAGGCCTTCGACAGAGCAGCGTTGACCGCGAAGTAATTTGGAAACTACTCAAGTACTACGGCGTACCCCATATATTCATCAACCTTATTCAACAGCACAGTACGACAACGGCACATGTCAAGTGATCCACAACGGAAAACTCAGCGAAGCGTTTGGAGTAAACACAGGAGTCAGACAAGGGTGCTTATTATCACCAATGATATTCCTAATTGTGGTGGACTAGATTATGCGTCAGACAGTGGTAAACGAGAAGACAGGGATATCCTGGACCACCGACGTGAAGAACCTAGAAGACCCAGACTTCGCGTGTGGATGATTTATGTTTGATGTCACACAAAATCGAAGACTTACAGGCGAAAACCGACAAACTGGTCGAAGAAGCAGGCAGTGAAGACAGGAATCCAGGTGAACATAGACAAGACGGAGGTTATCAAAATAACCAACCAACAACAACAGCAACATCCACCGCCAATCACCATCAACGGGAGGGATTTGAAAGAAGTTACTTCATTCACTTACTTATATAGGGAGCATTGTCTCAAATACTACAGGAGGAACGGACGAGGATGTCAAATCGAGAATCGGGAAGGCGAGAAACACATTCATCAACCTGAAGCCAATCTGAAAATCTTACGCTATCACTCAGCATCAACAACAAAATTCGGACTTGCAATACAAACGACGTCAAGTCAGTCAGTTCTTCTATACGGATCAGAAACTTGACGGCGGGTCACAAAGAATATTCCCAGCAGCCTGTTGCAGACCTTTACCAACAGCTGTCTTCGTTCTATACTCAAGATCAGATGGCCGGAAAGAATCAACAACAAGAAAATGTGGGAACAAACAAAACAAGAACCAATCGCTCAACAAATATGAAGGAGAAAGTGTAGATGGATTGGACACTCACTAAGGAGGCCGCTGGGTGACATCACGCGTCAGGCCATAGCTCGAGTGGAACCCGAAAGGGAAGCGGCGAGTAGGACGTCCAAGGGTGACATGGAGGAGATCGTGTGAAGAAGAGTTGAAACAAGATGGACTAACATGGATGCAAGTGAAAAGTACAGCTGAAGGCAGAAGCAAGTGGAGGTGTGCAGTTGAAGCCCTATGTACCACTAGGAACTCAAGGGAACAATGAAATTAATATCTTGAATGTTTTGAGTTTTTGTTTTAACTCATACATATACGATGACGCTACGCCAAATTTTTTCTTGTTTGGTTGCGCTTCCACTCTGTGCTGGTAACTCGTGCATTTCTTGGAGTCCTTGGCTTACTTAGCCATACTAGCGAGATAAGTTCTAAAATCTTCCCCCTCCCCCCGCCTTAATAATCTTAACACCTATATACCGCTTAAATATATTGTTCAGTAGAGCATCCCGCTAAATAACTGTGTCTTTTGATTTTCGCCTAGTTGTCAGTGCGTATGAGACAGGTAGCAGCATTGCTGATTAAGTGATTAAGTTGGGCTCATTAAGTTCAGTAAGCCTGGTATATTGTGATATAGTAATCGCTACAGCGACCTCCCTTACTCATATATAAATAGTCCTTATTAACAATAAGATGTCAACCTCAAGTTAACTCAAATCAGAAGATCATGTTGCGTCTCACTACTACTCAGTCACCTTAAAATGGTACACTTTGAATAAATCTATAATCGGTCGGAAAACTCATGCATAACTGTGCATAGACTGAAGATATTACAGCCGGGGACGAGAAAGCATATCAAGAACAGAACACACACACATATACACTTAATCACACTAATAAACAAACGTGTGGAAGGTAAAATAACTTACTGAATATATTCAGGGTCTGTCTCCATGATGAATAGCGGATATGTATGCATCACTGTAAATTAAAGCCATTTCATCGAGTATATGCAAACCCGTAATTTCCAATACCAACACCTTAAGCACCCCATTTTGATAACCTATACCTACCTCTACATGAATCTCATCATCATGAATATCTGCTATTTTGTAGTCTGATTACCCTCGGATTTACCCTCCAACCCGATCACCAACCGGATAACTTAGTTTTACCAGGAGAGTAGCACTTCTGTATGCACAAAACAGGTCTCGACAATCCTAGTTGGCAAAAACTCACAACGTCATTCTTAACCCAACCAACTACATATAATCGCCACATTACTGGGCCTTGTTGTTGTTCCAGACAATATAAGCAATATCAGAACGACAAGAAGACATTGAAGTAAGCTCCTTCATAGGACTTGGCATTTAAGAATTCTATTTTCTAGTGCTATCTTGAAATAACCCCAGTTATTAACTAGATTCTTGTTCTTCCTTTACTATCCTCTACAACTCATCGTCCGGACATTAATCAAAGTGCATCAATACATTTCCTGTGCTTCAAAACTAATCTCATTTCATTTTTCGTGTATTATTACTTGATATAAATGGTAAGTTAATCAAAATATGAACACACAAATCAATTCTTCATTGTTCCTTTGTATTCTACATCCTGTGTCAAGGAGTTATGACTTCTGTTTGTCTGTCTATTTTCGACATAGAACTTTGCACATTTAGGCGGCACTTCAGGTCGCCACACTCCCTCCATGTAGCACACAGAGCAAGAGAAGAAATGCATATAAGAGACAGTAAACAGAGGTGTGAGACAAAGAAATAGTAATAACAAAGAACAAAACAGTTTCATTGGAAATCAAAAGTCACAAGGAGTCGATGCCCCTGCGATACTGAGAACGATTTTGAGCCATGTCACCATTTGTTTCCAACCACTGGTTTTCAAAGTCCCGAAGATGTAGCTACGGCACTGTCTGTGGACGCCTTTAGGTGAAGGCTGGACAATAATGCAGCGACACAAGGAGTACGTCCACATTGCCTAGTCCCGTTAAAATCCCATACACCATTCAGAGGTAGACAAATAAGTTCGTCGTTTTACTCCTTTACATTCTCTCATGTCTCACTTTCCTGACAACTTTAACTACACTTATTATTATTACAGTTATTGTTACCTATATGTATACATATATATATATATATATATATATATATATATATATATAAACATATACATATGCAAATATACAAATATATGTATATATATATATATATATATATATCAACTTCAAATTTAATCAGCTGTCTGCACTTGCGGGAGCAAGTACATTGGAAGGACAGAAAGAAGGGCTTCTATCCGCTTTTCTCAACAACATATTCCAAGAAACCTGTGCCTGGCTGAAAGGAAGCAAATATTCTCAGAGTGCAATTAACAGACATATTGTTTGTTGATACCGGACATCTCGTAGAGATTTCTAAGTCCTTCAAAATATTAAATAGACAGCAAATTTACTACGATTTGCCGAAGCGATCACAATCAAACGGTTTAAACCAGACTTATGCATGCATACAGAAAGAGAGTGTGATTAACCTCTCAATATCATGGTAACTGAATTTCGATTACAATAAACAAATCTCACCTTATCTGGGAATGTCAATTTGCACGTAGGACAACATATCACTGAATCACCAATACTCCAACCATAAATTCGATCAGGTTCATAAGTGATGACCCGTGGTTCTTTTAGTTCACATGGTTTAGTAGCACCAGATTCATCCACATAATAAATTGGTGTGTATTTACTACACGTTGAATGACCGGTTTGTTTCAAGTGTTCCACTGCGTCTTCATTGGTCCCAAGAAAATCACAATTATCACATAAAATAACATGCTGAAATGCATTGATTTTGACTTATCGATTGAAAATAGTTCTCTGTGATGCACACCTCATTTGATAGTAGTGAACAAACATGCTGAAAATCTTCCTCAGATATCATATTATCATAAATTTCAGAAGGTATATAAGGTTGTGACCTCAACATTATTATTCTATTTCTCATTTTATCACTCATAGTTGAAAGGAACTGACGCTTGTCTGACTCATCACCAGTCTCGTCAAACGGATATTTCTCCCAGTTTTTCAAGATTATATTAGGCGGGTATCTGTAATGATCAGTAATGATTAATCTGGCCAAGGGATTTTCGGTCATTCGTCTTCTCCACCGATATCTAAACTCACTACGTGCTCTTACCAACTCATCCATAGGATAAACAGGTAAACTTTGATTGTGAGAGGCTTTGGTAACTGGAAACATTTTGGGAGATGTCTGAATTTCTAGATTAAAAAACCGAAAATAAACAGTAGGATGTCTAAAAACGGAAACTGAAGTAATGACTAAACCAAGAATTAATATCGTAAAAGATAATTACAACACAAATCCAGCATACAATAATTGTCTGATTTGTGTAATTCGAATCCAATATCGTTTCTACGAGCTAGTATAAACCAATTTGATTTCTTTGTGATCGCCTCTTGATTGTGAGGTATAGGTTTCTGATCTTCAGTAAACCTCTGAGTAGCTCGTCCCGCCCCACTCGACTGTCGTAGCTTTGTTTGACTCCAAAATGAGTAGTGCTGGGATTAATTATATTTGGTTTGTAGAATGAGGTGTATTGAGACTGTTACTACTGTGAATGGAGTTAGTCCTTTCATCAGTTAGTCCTCCGGTATCATCGTCAAAAGAATGGAGATCATAATAGTGATAATAGATATAATTAGTGAAGTTATTCAGACTATCATACAGATAAAGAAATAAAGGACACGTAACAACAGTCAGCTGATTATGTTTGAAGTTGATATGTATATATATATATATATATATATATATATATATATATATATATATACATAAATGTATATCAATATGACTGGGAGTAGAGCTACTGGTCAATAACTAGTGGCAGTTTGACCATCTTCACGCTTGAAGATCGGAGAAAGGATGGCTCTTATCCACTTCCTTGACAGTTTCCCCGACTCCATTAGGTGTTGGAACAAGTCGCATAAGGGCCTCTAGGATTAGTTTTGCCTACACATCAGTACTCCCACTCAGTACTGACAATACAGAGTTCTGGCTTAACTATATTTAAAAACAGAGTGACTTGACTTTAACTTTATCTGTTTCTAAAACACAAAATAAATCAAACAATTACACCAGGAAAAACATATAAACCCCCTGTCACTCAAGAAAAGACAAAAACGTACCGAACAGTATTGAGGGAACGGACTAAATGAACGGTTAATAAATTACATGTACACACAAATAGTGACAGAAAACAAAGGACACTCAAGGTCACGCCATACTGATTGGCTGTCTATCATACAGTATATCTACCTGTCGCGATTAACACTCCCCGCGAACGATCATCACGTTGACTTCTCGTATCTGGAACCTTCAAGTTGTCTGCTTCTTCCAACAAACATACGCTTCTTATACCTCGTTCGACTTCTTCAGTTGCAGTTTTCAAACGCACCGTCCTGACGCGGCCATCTTGGTCATAGTACACCTGCTTAACTATAGCCTTTCGCCAGAGACCTCTCGGTGTGTCAGGATTGTTAACTAGGACGAGATCACCAGGTTGTAGGTTACACTTTATATCCAACCATTTAGATCTTGTTTGCAGCATCGGATGATATTCACGTAGCCATCTATGCCAGAACAAATCAATCAAATGTTGTGCTTCCTTCCATCTTTGTCGTTGGCCAGTGGGTATATGTGCTCCACGGGGACCAGCTAGCGTATTTTAACCCTCTGGAAGACTCGTGATGAATTCATGAATATTTGCACGACGTGCTGCATTGGTTATTATTTCATCCATTGTTATAGCATTATTCGCCTTATTCCCATAAGCAATATTTCCCATAATAGAAATATTAAATAATTGTGGTTCTTGACTGACAACACCAATTTGTTGACGAATCCATTTCCGTAAAATTACTCGACGATTAATACCATTGAAAAATATACTACATTTCCAGTGTCATAAAGCCATTGAATTAAACTTAGTATACTGGTCTTACCAGATCCTGAAAGTCCTACCATAGCTGTCTTTCGACCAGGTTCAAATGTACGTGAGAAGTTCTTTAAAATCCAAGATTCTGGCCGAGATGGATAACGGAATGAGGCTTGTCTAAATTCTATAGGTAAACTATTTAAACGTTGATCAAGGTATAAATAAACCTTCACTCAGAGGTATTTTAGACTTTCCATCTAAAAGTTCAAAAATTCGATCAGCTGCCGCCAATGAGGCATGTTTCATTTCTGGGCCAATATGTGATGTTCTTTCTACCAAGTGCTTGAGCTGCGAAACTGATAGCGGCGGAGACCATGAATATTGCCATCAAAGTGATCTCTTCAATACTCATTAGATAAGCTCCACATGAAAATGCAGCTGCGTATGCACATATTGGTAATGATTGAGCCAATGCATAGACAAATGGATAAAACTATGAAGCTACGATTACCAGCAGTCACTTCCGAATTGAGTATAGAACAATACTGTTTATAAAAGTAATCTTCGAAATTATAAGCGTACATTGTTCTTGTTGAACTAAGAGCTTCATAAATAATAATAATCATACGAGCTGCTGCAGTCGCTTTATTGCCTTAAGAACGGTTACGAATTTGACGAAGCTGTAAATTTTTTTTATTATAGCTTGATTCCACACTGTACTTTTTGGTAGAAGTATGGAATTTTCAGCATGTGATACCACTGGTAGCCCAAATTTTGAAGGCCAAACATTGATATCAAATGTGCATCGGCAGAGGATCGAACCCCGCAATATATGCATGGTCGGTTAGTGTCCTAACCACTGTGCCACCGATGCACATAACATAATCACTGGGAAGAAAACTAACACAACTAAAGTCAATTTCCAATTAGAGACGAAACCGATAGTTAATGAAGCAATCACACTAGTACAATGGACTCAATTAATCGACCCAATGATACACCACAAAGTGAATTCACTTTATTTGCATCTGTTATTAGCCTAACCAAAAAAATACCTGGACTATGCTCTGGTTGATCATGTCATGCTACTTCTTGTTTCAACATAGATGCGAACAGATTCTCACGTAAACGTCTGGTTAACTTTTCACCCGAAACACCGAGAAAATAACCCTGACAAGTAGAGGAGATCAATCGAATTAAACCAAGTTCAGCTATAATACTTGAAATGAAATTAACTCTGGTTTGCATTTCATCTAGTTTTTGAGTTAAATACCCGACCGAAAGCTGCTACCTTGACGTGGTGGTCGGGCTTGAACACCGCAATGACCCAACAAGCTATACTGGCTGGAACTTATGTTACTGCAGGTCCTACCATGCCAGGAAGGTTGTTTGGATAGCGGTTAGACTAAAAGCAGGTACCCAATCCAATCCTATGACTTCAAATAAATCACAAAATCTCATGCCGGATCGGTCGGGGCCCGGATTAACAACGATCGCGCTTTCTGCTGCCGTGTCACAGGGCAGAAGTGATAAATACGCTACTGAGACACACCAAATGAAAAACAACAAACAAAAACAGGCCGTGTGTGACCGGCCTCAAGCAGTTGTCCCCTGGGCTCTGCGGTCACGCAACCAACTCCCACGGTTTGGGCAGCCGGGAAGTAACAATCGCCCTCACAACACGAAGAGCACGCGAAACCTCTCTATTCCTCACTCACCTTTGTCTTCATCTTCATCTCTATTATCTCACCTTCCTACTGACTTAAATTAAATATATAGCATACATTTCTGAGTAAAGAACAGCAAAGCAAAGACAGGTTGTAGACCACTAGTGATTGATGCAGCTATACATCTTAAAGTTAAAACTTTCCATTCTGGTTGAGATAATTTCAATCAAATGGCGTATACATGAACACAAAGCACCATGTTTTATGCGAAAATCAGTCGACTTGGACATTTTCAGAGATACTTTACTTGAATTCACTTTCATTTTCCTTTTTATGATTTATAATCGTTATACCATTATTACTAATACTATCATTATTGTCTGTCTGTCTGTTTTCGACAGAGAACTTTGCACACATATGCGGAAGTTCGAGTCGCCACACTCCACGTAGCACACAAAGCATGAGAAGAAATGCATATTAGAGACAGTAAACAGAGGTGTGAGACAAAGGAATAGTAATAACGAAGAAAACAGTTTCATTGGAAATTATAAGTCAAAAGGAGTGGATGCATCTGCGCCAAACATTCAGAACGAGGATTTTGAGCCATATCACCAATTGTTTCCAGCCGTCACTGGTTTTTACCGTCCCGAGGACCCCAACCACGAAGTCCACACCTCCCTATGTGACATACTGAAACTAACTGTTGTAGATTTCATTGACTGATTAGAACATGTTTTCGTTTGACCACTGCTAGCTCTTTTCCAGCCTGACCCTATATCAGCTAACATTGCCCATTGTCGACGAAGGCGATGGACTAGGCATACGGAACACATGTACTAACCATCTCAGTCGATGTAATTTCACACTCTCGTCGATTGATTTCCCCTCCTTACCTAGCAATCAACCAAAGCCTAACCTCAATATTACTCACCTTATTACACCACTTCACACGGGAGATAGCACTCAGGCAACTATGATCAAAGACAGCTAATCTTTTCATGTCTTCCCTTCTCAATGGCCATGTCTCACACCCGGCCATATAGGAGGATGGAGCGGACTGATGAGCAGTACACACGCCCTTCGGTCGATAGTTATGACTTCTAATATTACAGAAGTTGGACGAGTAAACATGAGTCATCATATTCTGTATACAGATTTTCTTCCAAGACACAGTAACAAATCTAGAAATAAGGATAATTCAACACGCACTAATAATATTCGCAGTTAAATGAAGCTACGATCGGTGGAAAATTGGACAATCATGTTACCTTAAATTACAGGTTTTTAAACTTGATAGACATAACAAGCAAATGAACGATAGCAGCATTATCGAAAACCTGCAAAATGTTTCACATATTTTCTATTCACCTACAGTCTTAAGACGGAATATATATATATATATATATATTATCATTGACGATCAGATCAGGGAGCACCTCGATAGGTCTAATATACTACATGAATCCCAGCACGGTTTCAGGAAAGGCAGATCCTGTGTAACAAACCAACTATCAGCTTGCGACGATCGTACTTCATACTGGGATATGAATGTTCCAGTCCATGTGGTCTACTCAGACTTCGAGAAAACATTTGACACTGTTCAACATGACCTTCTATAGGTATAGGTAAGCCAATTCTGTCATGGTTAAAGGACTACCTAGCTGAAAGGCAATTTTGCACTAAGGTCAATCCAGTTCCATCATCTTGGCACAACTCGTCATCAGGAGTGTTGCAGGGTTCTATCCCAGGAACACTGATGTTTTTCATTTTTATCAATGATCTACCATGCCGTCTAAGCTGCCCGATTCTTCTATACGCTGACGACGTGAAGATATGGGGGCGATAAAGTGTCCGGAGGACTCAGATAGACTGCACGCAGA